TTATATAGCCCGAGAGGTGAACATTCCCCACCCCTGGCCTAGAATTAACTTCATGGCCCATGCGCAGAAGTTGGTATTTTGTGGATGAGCCACACTCAAGGGGCCAAAGGGCTGCATGTGGCTCGCGAGCCGCAGTTTGCTGACCACTGGGCTAGACATTCCCCACCCTGCTCTAAAGGCTTAGGAAGCTTCCTTTCCTCTACTTTCCTGAGGATTTCATTTGCTGCACCCTTGGAGAGAAAAAAGGTACCCGTGTCTGTGCCCTGCTGTCCATCATCTCTACTGCTCCCACCAAAGCGGCCCCGCAGAGTGAGCTTTGTGTTAATAAGGGAGTAAGAAGAGAGAATGACATTTTTGTCACCTCACTTACTATTTCCCCATTGTCTGACCTCAAACCCTCCTTTAGTTTTATTCCTGAATATGAGACCTTCTGATCTGGGAAAGGAAAGGGGCTGAGAAATCACTGAGGAGCAGACAGTTTGATAGAAGCTTGACTTTGTAAATCTATCGCACCAGCCTCATCCACCCTTCTGTTTCCCTGCTTTCACCACCCACTGGCCCTTCTGATCCTTTGCCCAGAGTGCCTTCTCCACATCCTTCCCCAATTTCAGTTTGGTTGAGTTCCTGCCTGAAGCCTCTGGCCACTCATTCTCTATCACTGTGGTCTCATCATAGGTGTGGGACTAATGGAAGAGCTACTCCTTGCATTAGTTCTGGGAGCTCAAAGTTTGGAAATTCTACCTGGAGTGAGATGCTGCAAGCCCCAAACTTGGTTCTGCCAGCAGCAGGCTCTGGCCTCTGAGCTCTCCTGAGACTGGAAAACTAAGAAAGGGTTGCATGCTGGCTCAGAGAGCTAAGTATTTCCTCCTATTCCTCCACTTTTGATCTCTGTGATTAACTCTGTGGAGGTGTGGCGGTGTGCCTGCCTTGTACATGCTTCTTGGGGTCAAACTTCAGACTGTTAGGGATGACAATCAGCTTCAGTTACCCTAGGCAGCAAGGAGACCCAAATACTTGCATAAATCATAGGTTTATGCATCTAGGTTTCCCTCCTTCTCCTCTCCTCCCTCCTTTCTCTTTTTCTTTCTAACAAACAAACCACATTAACTACCATCAGATACTCATTGCTACTTAGCAAAAATCACATCTCTTGTTCAAACAAAGAAAAAATAGCTTTTTTGGTGGTACGTTTGGATCAGTGACTTGTGACCAAAGGAAGTGGGTGGGTGAGAGGATTAGACAGTAAATGCTCTATCAGCGACAGTTATCTACTTTCTACACTGCTTGCCTCTGATCCTTTTGGCCCCAGCCCCAGCCTCTAAGGCCGTGACAGTCCTACTCCCATGCTAGACATGCACTGAAGGTTGGCGAAGAGCTGTCACTGCTTTGAAACCAGCCATGACCACAGCGTGGGAAACGTGTAGGGCCAAGTCAGAACTTGAATGTTCTCTCTTACAATCACTGCAAGGTCTGCTAGTTAGTTTGCCCACCATCCTAAAGCATGGCATGTCACTCCATTATTATTATTAAGGTAAGGATTGGTCATGATGTGATATATATTACATCCTATATTGGTAGTTATCACAGAAGTGCCCTCCCCCATGATTACAAACTAATGGATTTCCTTTGACAAAATCAGGAAACCCTTAGTAAGGCCACTCAGGTTACTTTACTTGATATTTAAAGCACTGAGCCTAATTGGCCTCTAAATTCATCAGTGAGAGTGAATTATTAAATTTTTATAATTTTAATTTTTGAGGATTTTTGGGTCCCAGGCCATATTTATTGTTTAAATTATGTTTTTGTGCCATGTTCTATAACAACTAAGCCCCAATATGAAGGATAACAACCAACCTGCTGAATTAATTTTAAAGACTTTTCTTGATATATCACTTTTCATAGTGAAGGAAGGGTTGGCTGAAATGAGAGCTTTCTAAGAAAAAGTGAGTGCTTGCAGTATTTAGAATGTCTTGATTCCTGTATTTTATCTTTTTATTTAGTTTTAATTTTGCAACTAAAAATTATAACATAACCAAGCACAAAAATTCTATATGTTTTGAGCAATTTCTGCCTGGAAGCTTATTATACAGCTACTTCGAATGACTTTGATCAGCTGAAATACAGTCATAGTCACAGAAGTACATAATATATTTTATGAGGGTTTTTTTAAAAAATTCAATATTGTTTAAATACAATTAGTTTTACAATTTAAGGCACTTTACTTCATATGTTGTCATCTGTAGAGCATTGCACTTGAGTTGTTCCATATGAATGATATCAGTGTATTTACTAATCTATATACATAAAAGCCTAAGTGACCGGCTGGTAGCTATGACGTGCACTGACCAGGGGGCAGTGTGCTCCCACAGCGAGAGTGCTGCTCAGCTGACAGACAGGTGCCAGACACTGGGCTGACAACTGGCGAGTGCAGCTGCAACTGCGCGAGCCTCTCCTGTGGACACTCCCCCTAAGTGCCTGGCCGGAGCAGAGCCCAGCCTGGGCTATGGCCGCTCCCCAGCCTGGGGCACTACTTCATGCTGTGCTGGATCAATGCAGACAGTGGGCTGGAGCCCTATGAGCTGGCGGGTAAGGCAGGGCTGCGATGGTGCAGAGGTCCACTGATCCCCGCAGGCCAGGCCATGGGACCCCCTCTAGTACACAAATAAGTGGACAGAGAATAGTTAACACAGCAGTTTTCAAACTCTTCCAGCCCAGATCCATAACTCATAATTTCTGAATAGAGAGCCTGATATTGGACACAGGCAAGGAAGAGATGTTTGGGTTTCAGTGGATGCCAGTGGGTCCTGAGCCTGCTCAGTGCTCTTCCCACCATCCTCAGTGACTCTGTAGGAGCCTCACCACGTCCCTGGAGCTCCAGAGAACATAATGCCGAGCCCAAGCTCAGGCACAGAGCTAGAGCAGGGCAGGAGTGATTGGTAAGGAAGGAGGCTTTTCAGGCATCCTTAAATCACAGCCCATCACTGGTGGCCCACTGTGCTGTCCGCAGTGTAATCTACCAGGGGGTTTGTGGCTGATGAGAAGACTGGAGTCAGTTCTAGTTTTCTTAGCATCACTGTCACTCTGATGAGCAATGTGACTCCAGTACCCCATGCATTTGCTGCAGGTGGTGCTGCGGCAGCAATCCGCACCAGGAGAGCCAGAGGAAACAGGAGAGCAACAGTCATTTCCTTATGGGCACTCCACTCATGAAAATTTGCAAACTAGAATTTTATTATTGTTGCCGTGAATGATGCTGCTACTGCTGTTACAACTGCTGTTGCTGCTAGTACTGCTATTATTACTAATACTATTACTATTACTACTACTTATTCTTGTTCTTCTTCCCCCTACCCCCCTTTCTTTTAGTGGTAGAGCCGAGACACCTTTCAGTAGTGTAGCTAGATGCTTGAGTGTTTCTTGTCTTTTGTTATTAGCAAAATCAATTGATGGTCAAACTGATTTAACATTGACCACTACCTACCTTCTTTTCTCGGGGAGGAGAAGGCCAAGAGAAATTACTGCACCACAAGCAGGTTAACTAAACCTCGGTCAGCGGGGGTGCAGACTGTGGACTGGGAGTTTAGTTGCTGCAGTACGGCAGTGCTCCGGGTCCTTGGTTGGTGGCTGATGACACTGTGGATGGCCTATGTTCCATGAGAAGCGCCACCAGAGAGGCAGGAGGCTACAGTTTCTTTTCTGAGACTGCCCCCTTCCAAGGTAGTTGTTTAGTCCTCTCCTTGGCAGGAGCTATCTGTTCCTTCTCTCCCCCTGCTACAGGTGGCGCCAAAATAATACCTCAACCAACTGGAGAAGCCACACATCAGAAGTGGGGAGGTGGTGGCAACCTACACTAGCACCGCCCTTAAGGGTGGGGAGCAGGGCCTTTCTCACTGGGAAGCATTGATAGACTATTTCACAGACGGGCTTTGTTACAATAAGTTCCGTTTGGTCCCCAAACCCCAGAATCATTTATGCAGAGCCGCCTTCTCATCTGTGCTCTAAAAAGAGGCCTGGGCATTCCTAGCTTAGACTTTACATGGCACTGGCAGGAGTAAATCCGGATTCCACCCATTTCTCTCTCTCTCTGCTGCCTTTTTTTTTATTATTATTATTAGAGAAAAGGTACACCTCAACAAGTATTTTTATTGTGAATTTAAGCTGGTATTGACTGTCAGGTCAAATTGTGTAATGCGTATAAGCAGGAGCTCTGGAGTCAGACTACCTGGCTCTGTGGACCCTAACTGTGTGACCCTGGGCATATCACTTGTGGTGTCTCAGTGTTCTCATCTGTAAAATGGGAGTGAGGACAGTACCTAGTCCTTAGGGTTGTGAGGATTAAATGAGTTACTATTTGTGAAGTGCTTACAAGAGCCCATGGCAGATAGTAAGTATTAAGTCCATGTAAGCTGCTGTTGCTGTTATTATAACTATTGTTGTTATTGGGTGTAAAAGTTAGACTTATCTCCTTGCTTTCCTGAACATTTGGGCAGAAACCCGAGTAGCTTAGTATAAATTCGTGCCTGGAATAGAAGCCTAAATGGATTGACCTCTTGAAATTCAGACTCTATGACACAGTAGTGAAAGAATGCTTGGTTTTAAATTACATCTAACTTAAATGTTGGTTGGCCTTGTCCCTTATCTACTGGAGTAAACATGTAAGGAAATAAAAGAAGGATAATAATGTCTACATTTTTAGGTTATGAAATTTAGAATAAAGAGCTTGGTTTATATTATATACTCAATATATAGTAGCTAGTATAATTATTATGTCTGGAAGGAAAATCTAGGCCATCCTAAGTCATGGGGATATGGAACTACTTGGTGGGTCAAAGCATTGTTGATGACGTTAGCCATATTATTAAATGATTACAGTGAAAATTTAAATTTCACCTTATATTGCTTAGTATTATAAACAATTGCAATGTTTGCTTTATTTGCATATGCTCTCTTTAGAACAGAATGCTAACATTTCTTTTTGTATTTTGAATTGAATGTTGTAGAAATCTGCCCTCAGGAGGAAGTGTGCAGTCTGTAAAATCGTGGTCCACACCGCCTGCATCGAACAGCTAGAAAAGGTGAGACAGCGCCACCTGCTGCAAATTCTGATACCTTGCAAGTGTTGAGACTTCCGAGACCAGGTGTCAATTTCTTTCCAACTTCTTGAAAACAACCCCCTTTTAGGAAACTGGAAGTTCAACATTTTTACCAGATTAAAAATGGAAAGATAGTGCTTAAGGTTCATTCTCTCTGTTGTTTTCTGAAGCGTAATTTGAAATCATTTTATGTTGATTCTTGGGAGAAGGAATGATAAGGTGAGAGAAAAGCCTGGTAGGCTTGATATTCTTCACAACAGCAAGCATTGTTAGTCGCCCATAGAACCTCCCACAAGATGTTTTCTCTTAAAGAAAAAAAATCCATAAGCTCTTCAAAATTGTTATTTAGATACGTCTGACCTCTGTGAGTTTATGTCTTCCTGTAAAGTGCCAGCAAGGGAGAGAACCAAGCCAGAAAGCAATTCTGAGTTCCTTGCTTCAAGTGAGCAGTGTTCCTACTCACAGGTTCATATGTGGGAGGGGCTGGAAGTGGCATCCAGAATCAGTGGAGTCTGCATAGTCCATTTATCTGTCATCTGGGGGGAGGGAGAGGCCCCAATAGAGAGCTCTCTGCTGTCCTCTCCCCTCTCGTGCCTCCTTTTCCATTTCCATGTGTGAGTCTCTGCTTTATCTATGTTCTTGAGCTGCCATGGGTAAATGTGTTGAATTATTTTAATATGCTGTGACATTCATTGAGCTTTAAAGACACATTGCCAATTGTTGCCAACTGATATTTTATGGGAATGACTACTAAATATTTTATCTCATGACCCAACTCTTCTCCTCTTTCATTTCTACGCTTCTTTCATCTTACCTTGTAGCTAAAGATGTAAATGACCAGGAGACCTCCCCATTTACTACTGAATACTTCAATAAATACTATTTTTTTGGTGTGTGTGTGTGTATATCATCATTATCATATTAAACATTTACCAAGTTTATATTTTCTTACTTTTAAAATCTGAAACACAGATGGATGATTTCAGCTGCCTTATATTTTCCCCTGACTCTTTATTATCTCCGTTTCTTTATTATCTTTATTGTTTAAAGATATGTTGATTTCATCAGTGAGAATGAAGAGGCACGGATTGGAGGTATAGAATCACTTGGGATTTCTGTAGATTACCTAAGGTGATTATTTCAAAAGACTAAGAATAGTGTTAAACTTTGTTCTTCATTCTTTGAGGGGCTTGTTTTGTAGTCTCAATATCAGTCACATGTTGGTTTATTCAGGTCACTCATTCCAATATGATGCCTATCCCTAATATAATACACTTCTCTTTTTAAATGGCAGATTAATTTCAGATGTAAACCAACATTTCGAGAAGGGGGCTCCAGATCACCAAGAGAAGTGAGTATTTCAGAGCTCTATTTCAAATACCAGCCTTAATTTCCCATTGATTAACTGGACTTACAGATATTCACCAGGTATTAAAAATTAAGTGTATCGCCGAAACCGGTTTGGCTCGGTGGATAGAGCGTCGGCCTGTGGACGGAAGGGTCCCAGGTTCGATTCCGGTTAAGGGCATGTGCCTTGGTTGCGGGCACATCCCCAATGGGGGTTGTGCAGGAGGCAGCTGATCGATGTTTCTCTCTCATCGATGTTTCTAACTATCTATCTCTCTCCCTTTCTCTCTGTGAAAAATTAATAAAAATATATTAAAAAAATAAAGTGTATCATAAGGCTGGTGTGCTCAGTGGTTGGGCTTGACCCAGGAACCAAGAGGTCATGGTTTGATTTCTCTCTAAAAATCACTAAAAAAACTTTAAAAATTAAAACTAAAATTGTATCTCTCTTCATTTTACATCAGTTTTTTATTGATACATCAATAAATACAGTGAATAAAAATCCCCAGGTTTCTTTTCACAGAATGTGCAGAAAGCTAAAGTCTTACTGAATGCACCTGAGAGTAGGGGAGGGGGCAGTGATAGAATTGAAAAGGTAAGAAGTTAATGGCGCCCTACTGGTTTGGCTCAGTGGATAGAGTGTCAGCCTGCAGACTCAAGGGTCCCGGGTTCGATTCCGGTCAAAGGCATGTACCTTAGTTGCGGGCACGTCCCCAATAGGGAGTGTGCAGGAGGCAGCTGATCAATGTTTCTCTCTCATCGATGTTTCTAACTCTCTATCCCTCTCCCTTCCTCTCTGTAAAAAAATCAATAAAATATATATATAAAAAGAAAGCAATGGCATTTAATTGTCTTTAGGTCCATTTTAATTTGATTTTTCAATTTTGAATGGGTAGAAGCTCCTTGGGGGCAGTATAGCTACTGATAATTCCTATATGCAATGGAATCAGACTGTGTAGGCTCAAAATGAGCCTTGATGTTGTGTGATTTTGGACATCTCATCTAATCTTTCAAAATCTCAGTGTTTTCATATGTTAAAAGAGTAAGTAAGTACATAGATCAATAGAGAGATAAATAGGAGATACAGAGATAGATAGATAGATAGATAGATAGATAGATAGATAGAAAGAAAGATGGATAGGAAGACAGATAGATGGATGGATAGATGGATGGGTAGATGATAGATAATAGATAGATAGATAGATAGATAGATAGATAGATAGATAGATAGAGATAGATAATAGATAGACAATAAAGTGAGAGAGAGAGAGAGAGAGAGAGAGGGAGAGAGGAATAGATAGGGAGATATTGAAAGATAGATAGATAGATATAGATGATAGATAGATAGATAGATAGATAGATAGATAGATAGATAGATAGATAGATAGATAGATAGAAAGGGAGGGAAGAAGGAAGGGAGGGAGGAAGGAAGGAAGGAAGGACGGACTACATCCAGGGCTCAGTCCCTGACCTTTCTGTCTGGTAGTGGAGATTGACAGATAAAGGAAATTATAGAGAAGAGCAGTACTGCATGTTAGCAGTAAGCAGAAGTGAGGACAGGATGAGAGCTGCACTCAGATATATTTGTTCAGCTTTTATTTAGAGGTGATGGAGCAGTGTATGTAGTTAGAGAAGACAAGAATGTTGGCAGAGGCAGTCAGCCTTCCTGTGTTATCTGGGATAGTGTAGCTCCAGGCTATGGGTCATACATAGGGTGAGGAAAGTCTATGGAAAATGATAGATTGTACCACCCACGTGCACTGTAGCATTGGCCAGGAGGTAACTTGATGACAACTCAAACGAAGGATAAATTTCGTAGAATGAAAGGATAGTAGAAGGCATAGTTGTATGTTTTTAAGGTAGAGTTTATGAATTAACTGGTTTATTCTGTCTTTATGTCTAGAATTCATAAACTCTACCTTAAAAACCAGGGATTCATATGTTTACCTTTAGCTCTCTGTTCTTTAATCTCTCTCTTTTTTTCTGCATAGATAATTGTTATTGTATGTGCACTTTTATAATGCAAGTATTTTTTGTTTGTTTGTTTTTAGTTTTCACTAACTGTGTCCATTCTCATCTGCGAAGTCAGATCTCCATGAGTGTTTTGGAAACCTCTCATCTTCTTAGCAAGGACTTGATGTTTATTCTTTTCCTACATTTTCACCCCTTCTTCCAGATTATTTTTATCGGCATAAACATGCTCTAATAAATCCCGTTTCATTAAAACCAATGAAAATATTCCTTAACCACCAACTGTATCCACAACACTGATTCTCAGTTTTGTGTTCACGGCTAACATCCAGAAAGTGTGTTATACATAAACAGTATGTCCCCTCCTAGTCATTTTAACCTGTTCTGATCTGATTTTCATTCTGTGCATTCACTGAAATTGTTCTTTGAATGTTGCCAACATCTCACCAATGCCAAACCCATTAGATATTTTTCTGTTCTTTTATTATTCAATCCTTCAAATGTATTCAAAATATTCAATGTTCCATTATTTTTGAAATGCTCTCCTGTCTTGACATCTTTCCTAACTGTCCTCTGTTTCACTGGGTTGTCCTTCCCACTCACTTTCATTGCTCACTCCCCCTGATTTCTGCCTTTCCCTCTGGGGCTGGTACTTGGCCATGTTTTCTCTCTGCCCACTCTTGTTGGAAGAGCTCACCCAATCTCATGGCTTTAAATATCACTTCTGGGCTGACAATTCCTGGCTTTGCATGTCTACTCCACACTACATGTTCGATTTGACATGCCCATTGAATGCATCACAATTATATCAGATACAATGCATGAAAAACTAAGCTCATTTCCATCATCTTAAAAACGATTTAAAAAAAATTGTTTTATGCCTCAGAAAATGAGATGGCTATTGATCCATCTGTTCAATCGAGAAGACTGGTCATATTGATTTCTTCTCTTAATGACTCACCACATCTGTTTGACTTGCCAGCCTTATCAATTTTCTTTATAAAATGTATTGCAAACCATCTCTTTACCCCCATTTCTGTTGCCAGTGCTTTAGCCTAAGGCAACCATGATATCTCACTTTTGACCACTGCAGTCACCTCTCCATAAGTCCTTCATTTTCTCCTTCAATCTACCATGATTGAAGAGAGTGATTATTTAAAATGAAAATTGGGTTATGTCATTTTCCAGCCTAAAATTTTCCAGTGGTTTCCCCACACCCACCCATCTCCCATAAGGACTTCCTTTCAGTTCTTGAGGTGCACGTCCAGCTAGTCTCCATCTTCAGATGTTTGTGTGTGTGTGTGTGGCAGTGCTGTACTGGACATCTGGAAGCATGGCCAGCTGTTCCTTATAGTTAGGCCTCAGCTCAAATATCATCTCAGGGTCTTCCTTAATGACCACCTCTGCACAGGCACACCCTGTTCTTTATCAGAGCACCTTGTTCTGCCCCATTCAGAGCATGTTATGTGTCACAAGTATTTATATGTGTTACTCACTTGCTTGTCTGCTGTTGTCTTTCTGAAGTATAAGCTTTGAGAGGTCACTCATGGTCTGTGTCCCAAACTCATCATGCCAGGACACGGAGGATGTGATCAACCAGTATCTGTTGACGGAATGCTACATAAAGGTGTCCATTTCTCCCCCAAATGTTCACAAACTCTTTGTCTAAGAGGACAATGGGAAGATGAAACTTATGAGAGACTATGACCCATTTGAGATTCTTAATTAAGAGAACTTAGGTAGTTTACTTAGTGTAAATAAAAGAACAGTCACTTTAGAATTTGAATGACACCTCTGCCTCTTTTGTACTCTGTGGTTAGAGCAGGGATCCAGGGCAGGGATTGATAGGCACTGTGCCCTTTGCTTGCAGAGTATATGACACAGAAGTTTTTTCATGAGTTGTGGTTGGACAGCTCTACGTTGAAATTTTATGGACCTCAGTTTTCTTAGATATAAGCTATATGTATTGGCTTATAATTTTAAGATCCTTCAAAGTGCTCTATGAGTAATATTATGAATTGCATTGGCTATGTGAAAATAACTGAGCAATTGTGTTATGCATTTCTGCTTACAGTACTGAATATAAATCCTGAAATACTGTGTCACTGCGATTTTAACACCCTTAAGTAATAGCTCTTTCTATACCCAATATTTAAAGACAGTATATGAATAATTCAGAGTTTATTGATGATGAACTATAAAAAGAGGTTATGGTGTCAGAAGCTTTTTTTTCTTTCTATCTTCCTAACAGTGTATCAACACTCATATTTGAAGTGGAAGAATCCCGAGTCTAATTTCAGTTTATTAATTTAGGACATATAGGTGTCAAAAAGGAGTAGTGTAAAAAATTAAAGTTCTTGGAAAATACGTATTAGAAAACAGCAGTGATTCTGTAGAATTCTGTTTCTAATTGATAAAGGCAATTGGAGATCCTTCATAATGGTAATTACATAATTGAATTGCCAAAGAAATGAGGTTGGAATTTCATTCAATTCAAAACATATTTATTGGATGTTTACTTTGTTCAAATTATGTTTAATTAGGCCCAGGGAGACCTCTGAATAGAAGGATGTTGACATCTCAAATTATAGAGCCATAGACAGGGGGAAGTTATTCAGTTTCTTCTTTAGTATACATAGTATGTTATACTATATATTTAGTATAATAACTGGTATTATCCCCTTCAGTACTTTTGCTTAAATTACTTTATCTTACTGTGTCTTTATTTTTTTTTAGTTGCCTACCTATTTCCTAGGAAGGATGATATTAAAAATATTTAACAACATGCAGTTATATATGTTAATATTTAAATAATTTTAAAATGTCCTCGCTTATCCCCTAAATAAATTAAACTACATGATATTATATATCAGATTGCCAAACAATATACATTGTCACACAGATAAGTCAGTCTTACAATTTGTAAGTAATTATTGATTTGTGGAAGTTGCTGGTTTAATCTTTTGATTAGAGCTGTCAGCAGCTAAATATTCCCAGGAGTTAGCCATGATTCCACATGAGTAATTGTCAAATTCTTCCAGTGTTTTCCTCTTCAATGGATAGTCAGTAGGTGGTTTATAGTTTCAACAAGTAGAGAATTTCTCTTACCATCAATGATATTGGTCATTCTCCCTTGTTTCTGCTAAACTAATAGCAATTATAATAAATTTCTATATCCCTTGTAATTCTGTCTGACATTTTAATATATTCAGTATTTCCACTGTTTAATATACTCAGTATTTCCAATATTTCCAAATGTCACTGAAGTCATTTCCTGGAGCTTGAACCTGATCTTCCAGAGCAAAGAAGAGGCGCCGTGACCCTGTGTTTCAGGGCATAGGCTCGGGGTCAGCCTGCCTGGGACTGCAGCCTTGCTCTGACCCTTACATTTTAAGTAACTACTCTGTGCTCTAGTTTCCTCGTCTGTCAGGTGAGGATCATATGATAATTCAGGTAAAACCCTCTGATAATGTGCCCTGCAATAATGTGAGTTAGGATGTAGCACCCTTGTCTCCCCCGGCCTTTACCCTTAACAGGCGGTAAGCTAACGTTCTTTTCACTTAAGCAGGTGGAAGGCTGAGGGGGTCTGCCTCACCTGGGGAGCAGAGGTGGCGAGTTCAGTACTTTCGTCCCCCGTAGTGTTTGCACTGAACTGATGCTGTGGACACTGATAACTAGACAGGTTCCTGGACTTGCTGCCGTTGTCCCGAAGGCCATGCGACCCAGAATTGCCTGTATTGATATTTAAGCTTGCACAGACAACCACAATGGACACAGCCCAGATGTCTGAGTTTCCTGGGGGAATCCAAGGGCATGGCCCAGGCAACATGATTTGTTTTTGAAAGAGAGCCCATTGGGATTGAATCCTGGAGACCTGCTGCGCAAAATGTTAACATTTTAGTTGCTTAATAATGAGGAAGTAGAAGTGGTCTGCGATGTGAGAGGGTGGGGTGGTGGGGTGCTAGGGCAGTTGAGGAGGAGCTGGGGGATGCTAGGGACACTAAGTTACAACCTACCCACCAACATAGACATATTTCAGTATTTCAACAGCTCATAGGATTTTACTGGCACATACCCACTCAACAACACCTCTGCTGTCTTCATGAAAATGAAAAGAATGATCATGTGTGAAATATTTTAAAAAGTACTTGGCACACAGTTCTCAACAAATGTTAGCTATTATTATTAGCTTCTTTCTGAGTACATATATATATGAATTATGTTTGTGTTTTATTAAACTGCTGCTGTGGGAAAAGCAAGACCAAAATTAGACTAATTAGTGGGACCATTATGTTTCATTGTTTCTTATTATAGTTAAAAGACTATTACTCCCCCAGGATCTTTGTTGAGTTGTAATTTAAATGGATTTGGCATTATATAGAGAAATAGAAGTGGCATTTTGGAATTGATAATGTCAATGCTCTTTAGGGGTATTTTTGTCACTCTGGATTTTATGCCTTAATACAACTCATTTTTCCTCAACACTGATCTATTTTCTGTGTTCCTCTGTACTTAGAACAGTGCTTTGCAGACAGTAGGTATTTAGTGTTTGCTGAATGACTGAGTCTACAAGGCCTTTTAAAGGGAAAGCATGGACTGTCGCCTGATAACCAACAGACATGTTAATCTCAGATGGAGTATATTTTTTCAGAAAAGGGCAGGAGAAAAGACATTCACAAGTATATTAGATGTATTGGCTCAAGGAGAGTCAATTATATAAGTTTGTAGGATTCACTTGCACCATGAATTAGGCCTGAAGACAACTTTGTTATGATGTATCCTAAGAGCAGTGGTGATGGATGCTCCTTGACCCCTCTGCCCCAGGAGCGCTTATCTGTTTGGGAGGGAAGGGACTTTCCGTGTTTTCCACAACCCAAGACAAGAATAGAGCTTGAAAGCTGATCTAGTTCAGAGGTCCCAAGGACAGTTTAAACTCAAGGTCATTGCAAAAACTCACGACGTGTTCACATCTCTTGTCCTTCAGCTTTTCTCTTCCTTCACTTTCACTGGTAACAGATTCCCACCATTTGTGTCCTGAGTCAGGAGATCTATTTCTGTCTGAGAATTTAATTTTTTTAAGTGCTTTCTAGCTCAAATGTTTAGTATGGTGCCTGCTTGGCATATAAAGAAGCATTAAATACATATTTGTTAAAAAATATTGGACATGGTTGTTCCCGCTTCTCTCAGGGTATTTCTTTGGCTCGACTCAGTTACCTCCCAGCCCAAGGTCCCGGGGCATGCTCACGATTGCACAGGGTTTTACTAGGAGGAGAGGAGAGTAACAGTGACCAGGCGTGGCCATTTGTCACTAGCAAGATGTGGAGGAGGACAGGATGCATGGCTGGGGAGCAGAGTTAGCTTAATTTTTCTGAATGGACTCATATTTATTGTTATGCAGATCACACATACACCTACTTGTTTTTGTGTTAATGTGGTCTTAGATGATGGTTTACAGAAATCTATCTCCTTAAAACAAGAACCCTAATACTGGTTTTGCAAATTTAAATCGATTTCTTTTATTTTGTTTTTCCACAGAATTTTGTGCGTCATCACTGGGTGCACAGGCGTCGGCAGGAGGGGAAGTGTAAGCAGTGTGGTAAGGTAAGGGGCTGGGCACCCACGGCCATAGCCAGGAGGCTCCTCAGGCCTTTGCAAGCACCTGTGGTAGATGAGTCCCTTCACCCGAATCCAGGGCTCAGTATGCCACCTCCCTCCAAAAGGCCTTATTTCTCCAAGTCCCCTTTCCTTAAAGAGGTATCTTAGTTGTTCTAGAACTCACTGCAAGAGTCAGAGGTCTTAATACAAGGAATTAGCAAATTTTAAGAGAGATGGATATACTTTTATGGTGAATTTCATTGTTAATAGTTTCGAAAACACTTTCTATTTTGTTAAAAAACCCCGTCTGAAGACTGCTGACCCACCATACATCTTTGATCAGCAACAGAAAGTCAATGGTGTGTTAAATAACACTACTTTTGTTGATATAGTATTGCAGCTGAGCAGAAACATAGCATAAAGCAAGAAATGTATTGCTACCTTAGGATATTATCCAGTTACTGGATACCCTTCTCATATTTATGTCTACTGTTATTTATGTCTACTGTTTCTTTTAGTATGACTGGCATGCTATGAAACTCCATGAATTCTACATGCTACTGAACCCAACAGATTTGGGTTATGGAATTTTCTTTTTTTTGGAATGTACAAAGACTCATTTTAGGAACAAAAGGCCTGTATGGGAAGATTAAACTTGTGGTGAATCATGCTACAAAGATTATTTTTTTACTGAGTCCAGCTTACATTGGTAGTAAGCTGGACTCAGTAAAGGGACGTTTTGGTTTGATAGAAAGCAATATAATTTGGGAGAATATATTCCTCATCAATTAACAATTCCCAATTTGTTTATTTATCCATGTGACTCCTTTGGGTCAGGCACTGTAGTGAGCTGACCAGTATGGCATTTTGACAATAGAGGGATACAAGGAACTACTGGCTGCCTGAGGTAGGGGGGTTGACCGTGAGTGAGACTTGGAAAAGGTTTTATTGATTCTGCTCATTGTACAGTGCTTGGAAAGAAAACATTATTTTGTTGCCATTGGTTACCCCCTTGTGCTTTGCAAGGCTACACACCTTACCCTCAAGGGTATGGCCCTCCATTCTAACTAGTATCATCTTCTCCAGTTTAACCCAGTGATTCTCAATTACTTCCTTTCTAGCCTGTAAAGAGGACAGATGAAATAGATTGAAAGGTGGAGCAGGTGAAATGAAGATGAGGAGGAAGGGGGAGTGGACTGAACCTTACCAGCCATTTACATGGCCGTGGACAAGTTGCTCAGCCCTCCAAGCTTCTGTGGCCTTGCTTCCTTGGGTCCATCTACCCCTTCCCTTTCTGGTGTGGCACTGCGCTTGTAGGCTTACCCTTACTTAGGGCATTGCAGACTTTCTACAACTTTCCCACAAAAGTGTATGTGTGTGTGTGTGTGTGTGTGTTGGAAGGGGGGTGTATACAAGAGAGAAGAAACAGATAGGCACAGCCACTTTTGAGATGGGAGGTGTGAAGAGTAGGAAGGATCTGGATGAACAGGTCCTTCACTTTGGAAAAATACCTTCTCTCGACAGCCTAGTAACTGCCTCCACCTCAACACATGGTAAACTGTAATAGAGCGGGAGGGATCTTTTATCAAAAGAAATCAATGAACGTTATATATTTTGTGGTGAGTATTCCCTGGTATCATGTTACACCCTTTTCTGGCTTTGCCTTCTGTTGGCATGGTCCACTGGGCGGGAGGAACTGGACTCCCTGGGCTCTGTGTTGCTGTCC